CAGGAATTACCGTAACATCTCCCACCCTGCCTGAGGGCAACAGGCCAATTTACAAACTGCAGGCTCACCTCCTCTTCTAACCGAGGAAAACAGTGAATTGGGTATACAGAAGGAATCAAAGGGAATTAATCCCGTTGCCTCGGTTGCTTGACTGTTTAATGATAGGGCTGACCCCGCTTTGTCCCACTCAAGGTTTGATTATAAGCTTGAGGAGGCCGCATTCTGATGTTGGGGTTGTTCTTTTTTTCCCAGGGTCTGTATCATTAATATGATGATGGGAGTGACAGTTCTTGGATGTTATTAAACAATCAACAATGATCGGGAATCGGAGGGAAAGGATTCTAGTCGATAAGCCACGGTGGCAGAATTGCATTTCTGATTCTTCTCGGCTTCTCTTTGAGCATCCCTCCAGCATCTTATCTACCGTTCCAACCTCTTTATTGTCGATCTGCTCTAACCTTTGAAAAAAATTCAGGATATTGATCAGGCGTTTTCTTTGAAGGATCCAGTAACATTCGCGTGAGCCCTTGCTCACACAGAAGGTATGTCTTTCAGTAGGCTCAAAGGGTCATGTTTTCAAAGGCTTTAGTCATAAACGGGCTCCAGGTTGCAAAAGCAAAACAAAAACGCATGAAGCCACTCATAATATGCTCCTGGATTTAACTGGAATCGGGTTAATTAGTTTGAGTAAGAATAGCCTCTGTCTCTTCCTGCAAAATCAGCTGAGTGGTTTGCATTGACGGGATATGTGGGGTGGACGAGAAAGAAGGAATCTAAATCTGAAATGAGTTAAGGAAAAGTGAGGGGCTTTATTAAATCAGAGAGAACTCTAGATTTGTAAATGAGTAGGTGCATCTCACTCCATGTGGGTGTTTAAGCTTTTGCATTAAGCACAAATAATATATATTTTGAAGAAATTGTGGTTTGAGTGTCATCATGGTATTTCCGCCTTCTTTTTGTACAGGGAACCAGAATGGCTGTGATATAAATGGGTTAGGATGTGAGGTTTGTGTTTGTGATTTCTTACTGGTACAACATGACATGTTTTGATTGATGGCCTTAATCCAGGTCAGAAGATAACCGTGGTCCTTCAGATGCTGCTGAAATAGACTTTAGAAGTTCACCTCTGCCTTGTTCANCAACTGCTAGACTTTTTAGAATTATTCTATACAGGAGGTGGAGATCCCAGCCTTGTTAGTAATTACAGGGAAAGGGAGTGCCATTTTTTCTGAGATAAATTATGGGGGGGGGGAATATGTGTGCATGTTTATAAAGTCGAACCTCTAAGTTGGAAGTGATAAGCTGTAGGGACACATCAATGAATGGAGAGTAAGGAAGGACCCCACCCCCCCCAAACTGTGTTTATTGCTTCTTGGTCAAGATTCTTTTATATTTCTGTAAGGAAGATAGGAAATATTAATTCTCTATTGGCATGATTCCTGCAGTGAAAGTTGGACGCACTTAATATAGCGGAAGGGAAGAGTTAATCAATAATATGCAAAATGACCAGTTAGAAGATGCCAAGAAAGACTAATTATTAATTCCTAGCATAAAGGTAATGGAAGAATATTTTATTTGTTCCATTTTAAAACATTAAAGGAGATTAAAGCAAGAGGAATGTTCATAGGAAGCTGATTTTCTTTATGGTGGAATTACATATTTGGGTTATTCAGGAATCAAATGTTTCTTTTGAGAAAGGGGGGGAAAAAAAAGGAAGCCAGTTGGAACAAGCAATGCATTCACACCTTATAAAAAGCCATAAAATTTGAGGACTAGCCGCTGCATGGCTCTCTCAGAAGACAATTGCCAAACAGCCTTAAAAAAAATAAAAAAGCTCAGTAATGTCACCTGATTTTGCACTAGTGCTTTAGAGTGCTTTAGGAAACAAGAGCAACAATGCCTGGTGTGGAATTGGGTGTCTCAGTTGCCAAAGAGAAATACACAGATGAAGTTTTGCCATGAACTTGGCACATTCCCTTCAACAATATCCATAGGTTCCAGGAAATTGGATGCATGTTTGAGAACACAATTATGCATATATGCATCTAACATAAATTTAGGTAAAGTTTTGCTGGGAGTAATCCTAGCAGATTTTCCCTTCCTTTCCCCCCAAATGTTGAAAGGGCAGCAACCTAAAACAAGTGTCCTGCCTTTCAAAATAATGTTGAAATATCTATAAGCTGATACTTCTATCTCCAGGGAAACAGGATTAGCCAGGACTATGAGAGCAAGATATGCAAGATTAGCAATGACTTATGCTCTTCTGATGGTGTTAATTACCCTGGCATAATGAAATAGAATGAGTTCCTTCTAGTGACCATGAAGGGTTTTTAAGTTATATTATTTTGGAGCTAGGCAGAAAGGGTTTACTGTTTTTTTCTTCCAGATTTTTTGAAAAATTCCCCATCCAGTCTAGTCCCTGGAGTTTTCTTTTGGTCTCCCATCCAAAAATAACCATGCCAGCACAGGTGCTGCCATCTGCTGATAGAGAGGCTAGTGTTCTTTCTTAATTGGAAGGATTGTGATTTCTATAATCGTTAGATCGATGAGTAGCCATCTCAAGCCTGTTTACTTTCTAGGCCCTCCTGAGCTACATGTTAAATCTGATTATTTTGTGATTGCAGTATTCTCACAAGAAGGAGGGGGTGGGGGACCCAATCCAAAACTCTTTGCGTGCTCAGGAAGATCCTCTTAATTTCAATATTCAATCAACCAGGTTTCATCTTGAAGCTGAATTCCAAGCAAGTCTTCCTTCTAACAAGAAATCAGAAGAGAGGCCGAAAAATGGAGCGACAGGTAGGAAGGCAAACCCAGACCCAAAGCCCAGCCCTTTGCTCTGGGCGCAGCCCTTCATCCTCCCCAAAAGAAAGGCCCTTCATGCAGAGAGGCCAAGCTCTTGGTAAGAGATGGCGTCGACGGCATCTCATTGGCCGGAGAGTCTCGGACCAGGGAGAGGCCAGACGCTGAAGGCCAGCCCAGAGCATCCAGAGACGCATGGCGGGCGGAGCTGAGGCGGAAGGGAAGGGAGGCGAGTCGACAGTGGGGCGTGGTGGGGAGAGAAAATCCCCCCCCCTTTCTTATGAACACACAAGCAGCGCACACGCACACACACAGACAGACACACAGACAGTTTGCCGTCTGGCAATGAAGAACATCCCTTGTTTTGAGGGTCTCCCTCTGGACATTTTAAGGCTCAGCACATGGTTTTAACCCTTTGTCTTGATGTCCGATGGCCGCCTCTGCCTCCGGACGCCCTTCCTAAGCTTCTCCCGCTCAACCTACCCCCCCCCCTCGTCATTTCTTCCCTGCCAGTTTCGGGTTACCCAACCTCTGCCTTCCCAGGCTGGTCAGCGGCGGGGGAGAATCCTCCCGTACCAGGGGCGACCCGTGGAAAGACCTCGCAGGCAACAGCACCACTCAACCCGATGATTCCCGGGTTTGTCCCTGAAAAAACTTAAAACCCATCGTAAAATTAACCCGGCTTAGTTTGGTTCAAGCGTGCTCTTAACTGAGATGGCGGAGCGCGGTAAACAGTGTTAAAGGGATGCTGGAGCCAAATCCTCGCCTCCGCTCCGCGGCGAATCTGGGAGTGCCTGGATTTTCAGTCCCACTTTTTAGAAGTCAAGAGTTGGACGAGCGTTTTTGTGGTTGCTGAATGTCACTCGTTGCCTTTCCCAACCTTGCGCCCTGCAGTAGACACTACATGAAGACTAGATACTACGTGTAAATAGGCTGGGAAAGTGTAGCTACTACAGAAAGACTAGACGCTACCTAAAGGGCGTCGTTTCACTTAAAAGTGGACGAATAAATCACTCGTGTGTGGTTATCATTCGAACTGACCCAGCAGCTGAAGGCTTTGGGGTGCACATTTCCACTCGCCTGGGTGCCTCCCTCGCCTTTCCCCCCCCCCTCGACGTCAACAGACACCTGCTGATTCACACGTATATACTAGGTGCGTGTTCAACTGGCAACTTTCCATCCTCTTCCTCCCGAGTCTCGTGTTGCGATTAACCTAACAGCCGGCCCGTCGTCGGGGAGGGTGGCCCGGCCGGTAGCCAATCGCTAGTGGGGAATCATAGCATCGGGCAGGGGCAGCTGAACTCCTTGAGAAGCGGAGCAAAGCTTCTACTGGCGGAAAACTCGCGGGGGAGCCGCGCCCTCCCTCCTTTCCTTCCCCCAGCTCGGGGAGGAGGCGACTCCTTCCATTTGACTTCCCACGCCTCGCTTCCAATCCCAGCGGCGTGCCCGCCCGCCTGGCCCAGACGCCCACGCGGAACTTCTTTCGACGGGGCGAAGGAGCCCCCTGCTGGTCAGACAGTGGCAACGGCGCAGCGGCAGCCACGTCTTCCCAAAGATCCGCGGAGGATCCCAGAGAGTTAAGTGGAGAAGCTGGGATCCGGGGATCCACGGGCGTCTGCGGCTTCTGAAAGTAGGTCCGGCTTAACAGACGCGTAGGTTTGATGCATGAGGCGGAAAACCGTAGCCCTTGGGGTGGGATGGGGGGTCTGTAGAAGATCCTGAGCAGGATCTTAAGAGTAGACTGGATGCTGCATTTCTGGCTCTTCTCATTTCCCGTACTCCATACATTCCGGGCCACGTCGTTATTGCTGTCCTTTGTTATTGCAGAACTTTAATTTCTTTGTATATTTCTATATAAAATATATATTCCTTTTCTGTGGATTCCATTTCTGCCTTTAAAAAGTGCCCATACATAGGACTTTTCAACAGACTTGTAAATATTTACCTATGATGAGCCAGATGTTTACAGAACAGCGAAGAGAAAAGTTTGCATGTTCTCCCAGATGCTGGATTACAAGTCCCATCATCCCCTCCTTATTGCCCATGTTAGAGGAGATGAGCGTTTGAGGTGTTGTTTTTCCTCCATTAAACAGATACGCTGTATGAGTTCTAGCCTTGATTTCAGACACACAGTATTTATTTGGAAGTAGTTGTTAAAAAATGCCTGAGGACGGTAGAGTTGTCTCACATTTAGCTCGGATATGGGAGACCATGAGTTCAAGTCCCACCTGAACCACAAAATCCAACTGGGTGATTTGGGGCCAGTTATTTTTCCTCACCCCCAACCCACTTCACAGGATTGTTTTTCGAGGAAAATATGAGGAAGGTGTGTTGGGTTGAGTTAGTTGCAAAAATAAATAATGCAATTAATAATAGATAAATAAATACTATTGCTGAAAGTACCATTGGCATCAGAGCTCAACATGCATATGTGTTCTGACAGAGACACTTTGGTATTATGGTTGAAGGTATCAAGCTAGAAATGAAAGGACTCACTGGAGAAGAGCCTAATGCTGGGAACGATTGAGGGCAAAAGAAGAAGGGGACGACATAGAATGAGGTGGCTGGATTGTGTCACCGAAGCTGTAGGCATGAGCATAAATGGACTCCAGAGGATGGTAGAGGACAGGAAGGCCTGGAGGAATGTTGTCCATGGGTCGGACACGATTTCGCAACTAACAACAACAAAAATCCTATTTTGGGTCAAAAGCAGTTGAGTTACTTTGGGCTACTTATTCTCCCAGTGGTGGGATTCAAAAGTTTTTACTACTGGTTCTGTGGACGTGGCTTGGTGGGTGTGATGTGGCTAGGTGGCGTGGCTTGGTGGGCATGGCAGGGGAAGGGTGTTGCAAAATTCCCATTCCCTCCCAATCAGCTGGGACTCGGGAGGCAGAGAATAGATAGGGGCGGGGCCAGTCAGAGGTGGTATTTACTGGTTCTCCGAACTACTCAAAATTTCCACTACCGGTTTTCCAGAACTGATCAGAACCTGCTGAATACTACCTCTGGACTTAACATCTCAACTAATGATAGTACTTGGTCAATGCTGTCTGGGCTGAGAAATTAGGCAGGGGTTAAGACAAGTTTGCTAACTTGGTTAGATGATCTGCTTAAAATGCTAGAATTGTAGGCTAGGCTAGATTCAGATGGTGGGAAAACATTCTGGAACAAAGCAATGAAAAAAACCACTTCCATATTGGTGCAGATAAAATCACCCTGACTTTATCCACGTAATCCACCAGGAGACAAGCTTAATTTAAGGAACATTCGTTCCTTCAAGCATTTTTGAATTGAGATTTAAATTGCTTCCGAATGTCATTCTTGTACCACAAAAAACTATACATTTGTCCTTATGTTAGCATATGTATATTTCCCGTGACATGCTTTTAAGACTGATTTATATTTACACAAGGAAAATTATTCTACTCT